AATTGCCCAAGGCAAAAAGATCTAGGTCCACCCTCTTTGGAGGCACCTGGCTCGGACCGACCGGAGGCGAAGCCGACGCGTTCACGAAGCGCGCACGCAGTGCGCAAGGCGGTGCGCGTAACGCACCAGTCAGCGCAGTCGTGGTGCGGGTTGTTTACAGCAGTTTTACTATAAAGCCTACGTGGACTTCACCGGTTTAATGTACCCCAATTGGTAGTGAAACCACTAGTAATGACACTCGATTCAGATCTTTGTGGGTGGCACGGCGTCACCATGCCCATGACTTGACGTGCAGCAGCCTGACGAGCGAAGCCTGATTTTTTCCGCGCGAAGCGCCGTGGCAGAGATGAGCGCAGCGACTCCGCTAACCGGGTAGGACCGGTGCGTTCATCGGCTCTCGATGACGAACAGTGAGCGCGAGCGGAATGCCGACGCGCAGTGACAGTTTAATGCATGGATGAAGCGCATACATGACGCACATGAGCAAGCGCTTGCCGACAAGTTGAAGCAGAAGAAGGCGACTGCTGCTGCCGTCAGACTCGAGCGTACGCACCTAGGTAAAGCACTAGAAGCCTCTTATGCACTTTAACTTGTCAGCGCAGGCCTGCTGGCTCCGCCCACCTCCGCAATCAGGATGCCCGTACAATGTTGTGTGAAAGAGGTCCCTCCCGCGCCAGTCGATCGTGCCGCCTCGGTCGCAATGCCATGCCCATCTGTACCGAGTCGAGTCGACGTGCAAGGCGATGCTGCCGGCCGCACGACAAGCCACCAACCGCCCTTCTGGATTTCTTTGCTTCCCGCGGTACTCAACGGTCGACTCAAGGCCTCGACAGCCGCGCGCGAGAAAGGTACTAGTACAGCGGTTGCCGCCGGCGTCACGTCAATACCCGCAGTCGGTGTCCACACCACCTCCGCGCCCAACCCACGCAAGCGCGTCGACACGGCAACCCTGGCATGCGCCCTGCCAAACGGCCCCAACAAGTCGAGTCATACCCTGAGCCTGAGCTGGAGATGGCGAGTAGAATCGACTCAGATCCGGACTGTGAGCCTTGGTGCCCCCACTGTCGTGCGACATGTCACCGCTCGACAGGACGCAACTATGAGCCTGCGCTTGCAACCGCTATGATCGCCGACGATGTCGAGTTCAACGAGGACGCCATAAACAACGATGAAGTTGAGGTCGACCACGACGCAGACAACGTTCAGCCGCCGAGATCGACCACGACGACGAGAACGCCGAGAACAAGCTAGCTTTAACGATGAATGAAGCGGACGTTTTCATCGGTGACGACGTTTTAGACGAGGAGGACATCACCGAGGTGCGCACTACACATTGTCCACGAATCGCGTGATGCTCAATCAAGTGCTCACCGGATTGTCACCAGCCTCCAGCAAAGATAGAAAATTCATTCTCCTTGCTGCAGTAACAACGCCGACGGAGTGTACCATCCCCAATAACTTGCAACGAGAACTACGTTCACTATAATTGGGGCTTTGTTCCACAACTTTGGCCATTTGGACCTGACGGATGCAGAACAAAAACGCGGCTGCCTCATCGCTACGCGGCAGGTCAATTTCAAGGGCGGATGCTGCTCACACTCAGTACGCGCGTGCAGCAACCGAATGATCCCGCTACCTAGGCACTTTCGTTGCTCCAATGGCTACTGCATACGCACAATGAGCGTGGCCGTAGGGCGACAGGTGCACGGTAGTGTTTACTGAATTTGCTTTTCACACCTTTAAAAAACATATTATGGCGTGATGACACCCGCTTACCGTTGAACCACCAAGTCATCAGCTCTCAATCTTTTTTGGTTAGCCCTGTATCCGGGGAGTACCGCCAGTATACCGGGGACTACCTCGTAGGATGTGGGTGGAATAGAGACTAGGCATTGGCTATAATTCGGAAATGGAGACCAGGCATTGGTCGATTTAATTTAAACGGCACGGGCCGGAGACCAGGCATTGGTCTAAATTGAAGTAATTCAATCTAACACTCGAAGTTCGTCGAAGTTCGAAATCCGGATCTTCGTATCTTCGACACGAACCCGCCGACCGTTGCGGCCGTTGCATCGGCAGTTGCAGAACTATGGA